CAAAATTCTGTTTCTGAGACCTCATCATAAAAATCAGTAAATTTGGATGTAGCTAATTTCAGTTCTTTAGTATTCGCCAAAAGCAAAGTACGATCTCGAAGAGACTTCGATCTTGTCTGGAGTTCAACTCTGAATCGGTTAAGACATTCCAACATATCTTTCTGAGTTCTTCTTTCAGTGTGAGTCCTGCATCTCTAGCCATCTCGCCAACCACCCGTTTTTTATGACGAAGTCGTCTTTCAGTTGAAATATCGTAGTCTTCTCATCTTTTTGTAGCAATATCTATTGCCTCTTCCACAATGTGACCCCGTTTTTCTTCGATATAAAGACAAAATGCCTCGATTTTATAGCAGTTTCGTTAACAGTTAAGCCTTTTATGTTTCTACATGGTTCTTAAAGTTGCGTCACCGGGTGGGTGTCACCTCTTTTGAGGACCGCCACCGCCGCCCCCCTTGCTACGCCACTGCATACAAATACCAGTAACCACAAAATTGTTACCAGCGTGAAGGTTCATTCATAATCCAAGGGTATTTTTTTTTTTTTATACTCCAACTACCACGAAGGCCTAAGGCCTAAGCACCCATTGGGTACCGTGGGGCTATGGGAGATACATGGGAAAGGGGGGACGCCACACGGACTCTGGCGAGGGAACACGTGTGCATGCAACATGCACACATTCTGGCTCCGCCTACGAGAACCGCCCCATAATCCAAGGGTAATATTATATCTGACAGACTAGCAAAAATGGCTGCCGATACTAAAACTCTAGGCCCAGACTTCCTCTGCGTTTTATCCATCGGAGCCCTGACAAGTATACAAAAAGCGCACACTCACAAAGTCTTCGGAAACATGTGGGGTGATATGTCGGGCTGCCCATTTATTAAAGAACTTCTAAGCTATCCTAGTGAGGAAGTAGCAAGACACTACCTGTCGAAACAACCTACAATATTGTAGGACGTCTTTAAGACGGCTCCGACGCAGTGACTTTCAAGCCATTTACAAGGGTTCAGCTGCTTCAAAACTGACACTCCATTTTTCAATTTTTTTCAATGAAATTCTTGCAGTATGTTGAGAAGATAATTGCCGAGGGTGCTATAGGAGCACAAGTTTTATGATGGGTGCTCACTTAATCTGTTCAACTTCGCGATTTTTTTAAAAAGAACCTTCTAAAAAAAAATGAAAAAGTGGTTCTATAGCACACTGTGGGGTTTTGTTTTCAGCACACTGTGAAAATTTCATCCAAAAATATCAAAAAATAAAGCGTCAATTTCGAAGCACGCAAACCTCTACAAATCTTATTTTGGACGAATTTTGTCTACTGTCTCGTGCTGCCAAACCAAGCGTTGCGGCGCAATGTACGGACTAAGAAAGGACGTATTCGGATAATTTGGTGGCTCTATTTCATATAATAACGCGTAGATAACCAGTTCTGCAAATAGGTACTCATAATCGCGATCGCTGATACTCCTCGATTTTAAAGCCGTTAGTTCCCACGCCATTGGCGAGGAAGTATTGTAATCGCGAAAAATTTCTAAAATGAGATGTTATGTTTTTTTAAGTCATATGGCATCCACATCACGAAAAACTGTATCACTCATCATCAACTTGGAAATTACCGCTCGGATTTTTATGAACTTTCCACACTGCCAAAGCTTTGTAGTTCTACTCCAGTGGCAAAAAAGAAAAAGTAACAATTGCTGAAACTCCGTTTTTGACGTTTCAGGGGTTCCTTATCATTGACAGGAAAAAATTGTACTGCTTAAAAAAGGGGGGTTGAAATCAGTGAAACACGTTCTATTGTTAAGAAGCTTTTGATCCCAGTGATTACAGGAAATTTAAGTAACGAAAATCCGACGAATAATGGGCTCACGATTTGAAAAAATCGGTATCTGCTCTATAGGTTTGACACCAAGAGCCAACAGATCTGCAACTACCGACAGTAGGGAAGAATAAATTCAGATATCACTCCAGTCAAGTATAGGGGAATTTAGCGTGGAACTTTAAAATTATCGATATGTCAAGGAAATATGTTCTTGAGAATGATAATTTGGTAGAGTTTATACCTGCATTTTCATTTGAATTTCATGACCCGTGAAATGTACCCATTTCGCCTTCAATTTGTGTGCTGCAGCTTGTGATGTTTTTCTGGTTATAAGCAGGACATAATTGCCTAGGGTGCTATCAGAGCTTTTTACAAAATTTTGGGTTGAAATGCTATTTGTGCTCAACTTCTTGATATTTTAAAAAGATCTTTGTCTTTAGCACGCTGCAAGGGTTTCATTTGGAAATAATAAAAATTAAACGTAAGCTGTGAAGTGCAAATCGGTTTTTGGGCGAAATTCATCTACTGTTTCAACCTGTCAGTCCAAGCGTCGTGACGGTGCGTTCCGACTAAGAAAAATGTATTCAAATAATTTTATATCTTTCCTAAAATAAATTCAAGAACTCAAATTCAAATTCGTTTATTCATGGCAATAAACACAATTATGTTTACAAGGGTCATGTGGTAGATGGTAACAATTGAGCGAGGGCCATAAAAATATCTTATGCAGTCAAAAGAAGAGGAAACAGTTAGGTAGTTTTTGCAAAGCAATAAACAGGTAGGCTTATACCTGGATTAAGTACATGTCTTGTCTACTGTAATAGGTAGATGGAGGTGATGCTGTCAGAAATAGATGTGTGCGATCAATAAACAAACCACAAGATTGAATTGCAGTGTCCAATGATTTTTCTATTGCATTTGTTTATTGCCTTACTAGAAAACTCTGTTGGGTATATGATGGAGTTTACTAGAACTTCACAGCTTGTTGTCTGCCTTCACCACATCGAGACACTGTCAACGCTATCCTCCTTTGAAGACGCCACAAAGTACAGTCCTGTGATTTCTTGATTTGTTCGATCTGCAAAATCTCGTCTTCAGTTTTTTTAAGTTTCCCTAAAAATTTTCGCTTAGCAACCTACAAATCAATGTAGTTAATGTCAGGTTTTTGACTGAATTCGCCATAAAACTATTCTCTTTGGAATTGCTATCCGAATTGTTAGTTATCTTTAAATCAGCTTTTTTTGGTCTGAGTTTCTTTTCAAGATCCTTGCGTTTGAGTCTTTGTTCCATCTTAGTGATAAGCGAGGTTGGACTAAGCTTAGCATGCAAATGTATTTGGACCACATAGACAGGCCGCTCGGTATTGTGGCTCACTACAGCTGCAGCACATTTTCCATGGTATGACCTCTTCTTGCAATAATTTATTCGCTTACCCCAATGTATTTTGCGATTATAGAGTTGAACTGCTCCACATTATTGTTGTCCTTATCATAAAAATTAAACTCACTGCATTCGAAATTAAAATTGTCGCATATGACCTTTTATTGTCCATTATCAACCTTGATAAAAAAGGTACTGAAGAACAATCACACCAACAAGAGTACAGCACAACAATTCAACAACACAATATCGACGAACAGTAACCAGGGTAGAACAATACTAAATGATCACTTGCTGAGTACCAAAATAGGAAACGATTTACAGGCTATATCGCTAATCGATATCCGACTCTGTTATTATAAAAATTTACCTCGGTACGCAAACGCAGTCATCCTTTCCTCTTTTAAAGTAGCGCCGTTAACCGTCTAAGACCTGCCCACCCTCGTTTCCTTTTCACCCCCCCGTTACCCCAGCAGATGGTACTCGTGATTCTAGGAGCCCCGTTAAGGACTCCTTGATTTTCAGTCCTTTTTCTCTTTCAGAAAGGCTGGGGTATTTCTAGATTTTTACTGTTCCGTGTCAGCGTCAGCGCTCTCCTATTGTGAGGCTATGCTCTTTTTGAATTGTAGAAAAATTCATTGGGTGATATGCATAAAGGCGAGTGGCTACTTTTGACTCGAATTTTTAAAGTAGCCACTCCGTTTGATATGCATAAAATTGTAAGTAGAAGCTCACACTCATAAGTTTCTACTCTTTCCGTGAGGCTGTACTCGCTCCTTGAGTGCCGACTTTAATTTTTATATGCATAAAAGCGAGCGTCCACTCCGACCGCTGAGTACATACTTAAAGAAATGCGAGATACCTTAGTAGTAGACTCAGCTTTATAAGAAGTGGATGTCTTCACGAAATGGCCGAATTTATGCCTATTTATCAGCCTACGAAGGTGTTTGAAGATCGTAGGAAATCAAGGAAAGTAGACTATCGGGCCTTATATCGGTTTAGTAAAGTTAAAATAAGTAAGTTTAATAAGTAACCAGTTTTTATGTTTTGAATCTTCTTCCAAATCTGCCCTTCATTATATTTAACTCCTAATTCTGCTTCTACCTTTTCTTTCATTTCTTCAACCGCCTTACGGCGTTTATTTTTGATTTCCAGGATGTTTAATTATATTAACAAATACTGTTTGATCTTCAGATGAATGGTCTTCAGAATAGGTTGACATCATGTAAATGAACAAATAATAATCGACCTAAACACCACCGACACAAACGTTTACCGGTATACAGTAGTAACTGCTCGCAATAGAGAAATTGCCAATTCGGCAATTCAAAATACAAGTCGGAACTCGAAAACCAGAGTGCCTACTCAAGTATTTCATTAGAACTTGAGTAGCCTCTCCGTTTCTCGATAAATATTTTATGCATATCAAAACCGAGTAGGCTCTCCGTAACAGGAGTAGTTACTCGCTACAATATGGAGTCGCTACTTTTATACATATCACCCATTGTCTCCCATGTTTGTCTGTCCAATGAAACCACATATATTTGAGATTCTGCTTTAATGTAGAAAAAGTGAGCTCGGATTACAATTTTAATGTCGACTAGCGATGTCAACAAAGCGCAGGACCGCATCGACAAAATAAAGATCGAACGACGCGCCTGCGTTATTGAGTTGGATAGATTCAGTGTGAACAGAAGAAATTTGTTATCGACTTTTAAATAATCGTCCCTACAAAACTATGGCATCAATGACCTTATTCGTTTGTACCAGAAAACTATCTTTGTACATTGTTTTCTAGGACACCAGAAAACATCACCATCTACAACTACGTGACATCGGCTCAAAATCCAGTCACCTGGCGTGAGTTTGCAGCCGTCAACACGTTATACGGCAAGCAGTTCTGTTCAGGGAGGTACTTCTGGCCACCTTCGTTATATTTCATCGGAAGTCCCTTCTGGTATGCGCTTGTCAGGTTGTTACTTCATATCATTCCAGCCTCCATAGTTGATGCTTTACTTTTTCTTACTGGGAACAAGCCAAGGTAGGTCAAATTGAGCTCTTAGTATGTAATCTCTCGAAAGCGATAGGGTTGTAGGGGGTGGGGGAGGGTGAATCTGGAAAAAATGTAATAGACGCGTCGAATGTAGTGAACGTAGAGAGATATACCTGTGTTGGGGGATGACCGCTGGCGTGCGATGTCCTTGCCAAAGCGACGTTGCCAGATAGTTGGTACTATTGCAATTCAAGGAAGAACTCTCTAGATCGCAACGTTGTCATTTGGGTGGGGACTATGCACTTGTATTGCCCTTTTTAATTTTATTCATATACATATTCGAGGCTAACTTTTTTCTTAAAGGCACTAACTTGAGCCAAACATATTCCTATATGCGCGGATGATAGATTTTTGTGACTAGTGCAGAGTGGATCTACTTGACGCCATTTTTTCTTTGTTATCAGAGCCTTGGACATATATAGAAGAATCCACAAAGTGTGTGAAATTCTGCATTATTTCGGAACAAGGTCTTGGAGTTTCTCTAACAAGAACATGGACAACCTTTGGCAGAAAATGAGCAAGGAGGACCGAGGGATATTCAACTTCAATATAAGGGATGTTCACTGGATGAGCTTCTATTATCATTATACCAGAGGCGTTAGGAAATATTTGCTCAAGGAATCTGAAGATCATGTGGAGGAGGCTCGAATAAGGGATGAGAGGTAGGTTTATAGGTTTTTTAGATGTCAAAATGAAGAAACGTTTGTTATTGAATTGCTTAAAGTAAATATAATTAAAAAAGGCATTAACAAATTTTGATTTGGCCAATTGAGGTGAAGTGAGTAATTACATCTTTACAGCTTTAGTTACACCTGTTTTATAATATCCATACTAGGATAGATCACCCTATGTATGGAAAACAGACATCGACCCCAAAGCGCTATACTGGGTATTCTGAATGTAGAGGCTTTCTTTTTTAAAAACAACTACTTTCGAAATAGCGATGCTAGTGTCCGGTGAAACAGCATTGAAAAAGTAAAAAACAGAAGAAAAGCAGTCACTGTTCATTTGATAAAAGAATTCTACCGTACTGTCGGTTAATAATAATGTTCGCATTTGTCATTGTTGCGTTCAGAACCCTTCGTTGGCTTTTTCCCAAATTGCAATATTCGGGGCTAGATCTTCTGCTGTGCCCACCTCGACATCTCTGCGAACAGCCTTTGTACGAGATAAACAAACCTACGCAGCGCCATGACGACACTCGCCGGGAACTAACATCAAATCGAGCACTTTGTTACAGCTATGGAATGTGCTATTTTCGGTTTTTTGAGTCCGATTTATACACAAACAGCTCGGTTTATCTACACGGCGCGTGGCGTCATAAACGGATACTGACGCACATTTTACAAGAATTACTAGAAATTCTACTAACGTTCTTTTTTTTGTTACAGGTTCGTTTTACTAAAAGATATCCTGAAGTACCTAATGATCTACGCGATAATCTCCACGATTTTTAGTGTCTTGTCTATAATATATCATGCCATTTTTTAGGAAATATTTTGTACAGTTTAGGTTGTTCAATAAAGTACTCAATGAAAAGTGTGTTGACTTTTCTCTGTCAAATTGGTCCACAGATTCTATCCAATAGTTGATTTTTTAACACGAAGCTGGAATTCAAAATTTGTTACCCATTTTTGGTACGAATTGGAGTGATCTGAGAAGACAAATAAAAAAGGGGGAACAACTGAACCCCCGCTATAAGCAATATTACTGGTCATTGGGAAGATCCTCAAAGCCTTGGCTCATATTTAGATCTTAAACCGCTGTGGCTCTACGATTGACAACTATGGGGGTGTTCCAAGAGTCCGAACATCCATAATATTCAAAGATTTCAAAATAAAGTTTTGAGAAACATGGTCAATGTAACTCGTAGCGAAGATTGTAGTTACATACTTGCTGGGACATGTGTTGAAGGGTTTCACCCTCTATCGACAAATTAGACTAGTAGCCAGCTGGAAGGCATTACGTCAGTACATGGTTTGTGCTGTAGCAGATTTCTCACTGCCTAAGTGCACAAACATTTGAAAATAGAAGGTTGTGTGGCTATTAATTTTAACTCATGGGTTAAGAGGAAGGTCAAAAATAAGAGACCAAAAAAATAACCAAAACAGAAATCAATTGGCTAATGATACTTATCACCGAGGTACATGAACTTTAGAGTCATTTTCGTATAAACAATATGTTTCAGTTTTTCTAATATCTAGTATGTTACCGGTCCCAATCCGTAGAACAAAAGTGTCCAAGGACTCAACGTTTTTCCATGAGTAGTTGCCGAGATACAGTGCTTCCAAGTGGTGCAATCCGTACTCAATTACAACGCATTGGTGGAAATAACATTTAATGCGGTTCACTATACTATGGGAAACGTTCATAGTTTGACATGCATTAACATTTACACTTCAGAGTGGTTCAAAAGTTCTAAAATATGGCCGTCACTAGGAAGATATATAAAATTATACAAAAAAGATCTATTTCTATGTTTTCCAGGCTGCTGATAACGAATATTAAAGATCAAAATGGCTATATATATCTAAGATGGTGCTCATCTTTGCAAAAAATATGTTTTGATCGTGCTCAAAATTAATTTTCAAATCACTAATGGCGAATGAAATATCGTTTCTTAAAAATCTAAATGGCGGATTCAGTAAGACGGCTATGTTTGCAAAAAAAATATCGATGCCGCATAATTGTCAAAGTTACAGTCAGCTGCAGCTACAGATTATCAGCTAGCTGCAGCCAAAATTAACATATTTCTTAACTAGATGTCTGATAAACATGCTAATATTTAAAATAGAGCGGACTGTAATGAGCTTTCTTGACACTTTTTGAATTCATTGAAAAAATATCAAACACATATTGTTGTCTTATAGTCTCATGTAGTAAGTAATACAGTGTAGTATCATGTCCTATCATAATATTTACCTTGGACTCTGCAATCTATCTTGCCACATTTTAATACATTTGATTACCTAAAAACGTGACTATTCGATTATACATATTTCTTGCACATTTGGCCAGGTTTTTTTTTTGTTCCTGAACCACGCCTATGCATTTTCACGTCGACACAGACAAGGTTCAAGCAGTATCCCCCCTCCAGCCACAACATGCCTACTGTAACAATATTCACATTCCCTCGAAATAAAATTATAACATTTATTACTGTTCTCGTTTACACCAATGTATGTTTATCCGATTTTAATAATTTTTGGCGTATATGTTCAGTGTCGCTTACTGGTAAAATGATTAAATTTTCAGCTTGATTCATCAACTCCCACAATGCGGCGAACGTGACGCTCCCTGTCAAATTGTGGGTCACGTCTTTCACCACGTCGCCTTCTGACTCTTGCCCGACTATCGTACATCCCCAGACAGAATCGGGATTCGTCACTAAAGACCACCTGATTCCATTCCCGGCCCAATAGGGTCATGACCCCCCCAGGCGAATTTATTTCGGACATAAATTTTTAAAGTTCCAAATCTCTTAGATAAATCTGTAATGCACACATATTAAATGGATGTACTGGTATTTTTTACTAAACACTTGCAGCACTGCATCCGTCAACTTTGATTTAACTGTAAGCTCATAGATGATCGCGCAAGACTGGTTGCCTATGCGGTCATAGTCCAGTTAAATAGCCGAAACTGAGACAAAAGTGATAACATAACCACAAAGTTATTTCCGCTGGTGTAATGGTGTAATAAAGGATTGCGAATATTGTTGTATGAATTTGGTTTTCCGGAAACCAGCCGTTTTTTGTAAAACAGCGAAAAACCCGAAAAACCTCTTTTTCGCTGAAACGGCTGAGGATATCTGGGATTATTTTACACGTAGATTTTTCTAATTTTTGGGCCATCAAAAAAGGTCTCTACATATTTTTCTCTAAATTGCTTAGTTTTCGCGCTGCAGCTTGCTGATGGCTTGTGGGCGAGGGGTTTGCGGGGACAGAGGCGGCGTACCTGTATGCCGCACCGCCCACGCGTTGACGACGCAGACGATCACTTACTATATGGTAGGGGTTATTCAGTAATAGTAGAGTTGAATTTCGAACCCTGAGCTCGCTTGTCAGTTTGGCGTTCACCGATTTTTACGAAAGAACTAATTTTCGAAGTTTATGCGTTTAAATATGTGGAGTAATTTCTCTTCAATTGCTTGTCGATTGACTGGATAAGTGAGGTAAGTATGTGTACATTTTAGAATTGAAGTTAAATATTTTTTCCGTAATTTCATTGGAGACAAGGAATTAAGGACAAAGCCAACCTAAAATTCGAAAAGTTATCCGCCATGGATTTTTTAACGAAATTTGTTTTCATTTTCCAATGTTAGTATCGTATTTTTTAATAATAAGTAGTGCAGTCCAAATTCAGTATATGTTGTCCAAAATTCAGCATGTCTTGGAATTCCATTAGCACTATGTTCTGATATTAATAACAAAAATCAGACAAATTAGACTGACTGGATCAAAAACTGCATTACACTTACTGGATACCGATTCTTACTGAAATTGTTTCTGTTATTCAATAGGAATAAAATGCAGCAAAATAGTAACTGCGCGATTTGCAGTTATCCGTTGGCGCGCGTCAATTGCAGGATCGTGGGGAAGAAGGGAATTAGTATTTACACTGATCACACGGAGCAAACGCGTGGAAGACAAAAAATGGTTGGATTGGGAAAAAAGGAAAAACTGGACTGCCATGAGGAGTGTAGACTTTCATACTCGGTCAGTGGAACATATACTCAGCATTTTGCGTTGAATGCACCAGATAACAATGTCGTAGCTGCAAGGGATGAGGTTCCTGATTTCCATTACGCGGATAATTGCTTCATTTGTGGTTTCAGTATAATAAAAGATGCGAAAACAAAAATCTGTACAGTCACACAAAAAGAGACGCGTGATAACTTGATTGCAATGGGAAAGGAAAGAAATGACTCTTTGGGAATTAGCGTTGTTGAAAGATTAGAGAACATTTCTTGATTAATTCGCGTACAA